TTTGTGCTTAGGTCTGTGTGTATGTGTGTGTGGTGGGATGTCTCTTTTAATATGGCTTTAATTGATTCTGATGTTTATTGTTTTTATCTTGCAAGGCACCTTGAGGGTTTTGTGTCCTAAAAAGCAAACTAATTTCAAATAAATGATACCTTCATATTTCTAGCATGTTCCATGTTCCTAACTGCTACACGGCATGGCCCCACATTCCAAATAAATTGTGTGCAGCAGCAGCTGGTTGGTAACATTCAAAGAAAATGTTACACAAACAAACTACACACCCAGCCCATCCACTCCTCAAAAGCCCACCCCTCTTTTTCGTGTGGTATCCACATTTAACTGTTGCAAATTGTGAAAGTGATACACCATTTATTTAAAATTGTTATCAAATCTCTATAAAAATCAAGCTAAGTAACAAAAGTCAATTTCTTTCTGTTTGTTTGCTGGTGGTTTATAATAGTCATGAAGAATGCTGTGTACTCAAGGAGTTCTCTTTGTTGACACTGACAAAAACTTCTTTGTAAACCATTCTTTTCTCACCCAATAATTGATCTTCTTGTGATATGGAGAATGTCTTTAGAAAGCCAGTTCCGGAGTGGTGTGGTGGTGAGATTATTGGACTGTGACTTGGAGATCCGGGTTCAAGTCTCACTCAGCCATGAAGCTCACTGGGTGACTTTGGGTCAGCCGCAGACTTGCAGCCCAACCTGCCTCACAGGGTTAGTATGGTTGTGGGGACAAAATGGAGCTATGCAAGCTGCCTGGGGTTTCTCACAAGGGGAAAGCAGGCAGGATATAAACACAATGTAATAATATTGTGACTTTGGGCCAGTCACAGACTCTCAGCCCAACCTACCTCACAGGGTTGTTGTGGGGATAAGATGGAGGAGGAGAATGATGTAAGCTGCCTTGAGTCCTTTGAGGAAAAAGGCAGGCTATAAATAAAAAATAAATAATATAATGGTCAAAAGAAGCAGGTGTAATAACATATTCACTCACAGTGGGGATGAACAAAATGAAAATATCTTCCCCCAGTGGACTCCTATGTTTGCTAATTCTTAAATCCCTTTTGCAGGCCACCAGTAGGGCTTGCTGATCAGAAGCCCACAAAAATTGGAAGTTGAGGCTGGTGTTTGAACAGGAAGCAGAACAAAAACCTGTTCCTGAACTTACTTATTCAGGAAGGGAGTCTGAGGAACTAAGGCAGACAGTGGTGGCAAAAGATGAAGTTCTCAACCCTACTGACAAAATTAACATAAAAAATCACCAGGCCAAGAAGTTATCTATCCTTGAGTTCTTAAATAACTCAAATATGAAATCCCTGACCTTCTTAGAAAACTATTTAGTGTGTCCCTAAGATCAGCCTCTGTACCAGAAGACTGGAGAACAGCCAATATATCACCAATTTTTAAAAAGGGATTTAGGGAAGAACCGGGGAATTACAGGTCAATTTTGGGTAAATTGGTTGAAAGTGTTATTCAAGATAAAATTAGAAAGCATATAGAAGGGCAAGCTCTTTTCAAAAAGAAACAACATGGCTTCCACAAAAGTCGTGCCCCACTAACCTTCTAGAGTTCTTTGAGAGTGTCCATAAATAAAGGATCAAGATGATCTAATAAATGTTGTTGAGTTGGAATCCCAAAAGCCCTTTGACAATGTTCTTCACCAAAAACTCTTGTAGAATGAGAGAGGAGGTCCTCTCAAGGATCATATTCTGGTTAAAGAATGGAAAGCAGTGAGTGGGAATAAATGCTAATTTCTCCCAAGTGAAGGGATGTCAACTTTGGAGTCTCACAAGGATTTGTCTTAAGACCAATGCTATTCAACCTATTCATAAATGATCTGGAAAAAGGACTGTGCAGTGAGGTGCTGATGACACCATGTTATTTTAGGTGGTTAAAGAAGGTGGGATTGCCAGGAGCCCCAAAAGGACCTCTCCAAACCAGAAGAATGGACATAAAAATGGCAAATGTGGTTCTGCGAAAGCAATGTAAAACAATATACATCGGAGTGAAAAATCCCAACTTGTAATTATAAGTTTATGAGATCTGAGCTAGTGGTGACTGACAAGAAAGGGAATTTTGGGGTTGTGGTCAGCAGCTCAATTAAAATGTTGACCCGTTGTTCAGTTGCTGTGAAAAAATGTTTAAGAAAGGCATGGTAAGCATAATTAATAAGAGAAATGAAAATAAAACTGCCAATATCATCCTGCCTTAATGAAAACCTATGGTGCAATACAACTGGACTAGTGTGCATGGTTCTGGTCACTGCACCTAAAAAGGGAGATTGTATAGTTGGTAACGCTCTCTTGGATGCACACCTTAATGCAGTGAAGGGGTTTGTGAGTCAGAGAAGCCAACAACAATGCCACCAAGGGCCAGACAATCTCACTAGGCTGGTCTCCTGCCTTGGGTGGCTCTGCTAGAATGCTCAACATGGAGACACCAAGCCAAGATGCATCCACCCTCTTCAGAAGAAACAGTCACATCCGCAGAAGAGAACTGATATCTCCAGTGGTTTCAGGGGTGAAGAAACTCCTAAAGGGCAGCAGCTTGAAGGTAGCACTGGCCGAGGAGCTTTCACAGACAACAGCAGTGACATTTTAAGCAAACTGTGGTTAGTACTGAGCAGAAGCAGGCACTGGCAAACCACTTATGCACATTCTTACCTTGAAACCCTTGGGATGAAACAACCCCAAATGAGGCAAGAGGTAGTGACAGAAAATGAGACTCCCAGGTTGGAAGGCATTCAACCAGCTCCTGGGGAGGAGCAAAGGCCGAGTATTGTTAGTGCTGTCATTAATGACACAACTAGATTGAAGCTGAAAAGCAAAGTAGTAGTTGACATTCAGAGAGGAAAAAGCAAAGTCTGATGCTGCACAACACATGCAGTTGGAATGTGGCATGAAAGAAGTATGAATCAAGGCAAACTGGAAACCATAAAGCTAATAATAATAATAATAATAATAATAATAATAATAATAATGGAACAGTTAAACATCATAGTACTTGGTGTGAGTGGGCTAAAGTGGACTGCACTAGGACATTTTCAGTTAAAGGTAAAGGTTTCCCCTTGACGTAAAGTCCAGTCATGCCTGGCTCTAGGGGGCGGTGCTCATCTCCGTTTCCTGGCCGAGGGAGCCAGCGTTTGTCTGCAGACAGTCTCCGTGGTCATGTGGCCGGCATGACTAAACACCGAAGTGCACAGAACGCTGTTACCTTCCCACCAAAGTGGTACCTTTTTATCTACTTGCATTTGCATGCTTTCTAACTGCAAGATTGGCAGGAGCTGGGATGGAGCAAAAGGAACTCACCCCGTTGTGCGGATTTGAACCAGCGACCTTTCAATCAACCAGCCCAGCAGTTTAAACCACTGCATGACCTGCATCCCTACATTTTCAGTTAGACAAACAAAAAATATTTTACTCTGGAAATAGCAAACTGAGGAGAAATGGAGTGGCTTTGACACTCAGCCAAGAAGTAGCACAGGCAGTAAGGAGCTGCAACACAAAGACCAACCACATCATATCAGTCAGGATTCTCAGAAAAATTATTAACATAAACATCATTCAAGTCTATGCTCCAACAGCAGATGCTGAAGAAGAAATAAAAACTTCCATTCAAGCAACAGAGAGGAAATATATAACAAACCAAAACAAGACATGCTGATCATCATAGGGGACTGGAATGCAAAAGTAGGAGACAAAGCAGGAGCTAATATTGTGGGAGAATTTGGCCTAGGGGTCAGAAACAGGAGAATGACTCACAGAATTCTGTGAGCCAACCATCTCTTTATTAATATACACTTCAGGCAATTGATCAGAACTCTATATACATGGGCACTAACAGATGGCTAATACAGAAATCAAACAATTGCCATATTTGGGAATACATGATGAAGAAACTGCATTCTCACTGCCAAAACCAGACCAGAAGCAGATTGTGATAGTGGCCATGACTTAAAATATCAAAAAGCAGAGTAGAGCTGAAAAAGAATAGTGCCTAAATGCAAGTTTAATAACATTCCCAAGGAATTTAAAGTCTGCCTGAATAACTGATTTGTATTGTTGAACTCAACTTACCATGAACCAGAACTGTGGCCTGAAACCAGAGATATTATTAGGGAAGAATGCAAAAAGACAATTCTTATGGCAAAAAGAAAGAAAAAGCCTAGATGGATTATGGAAGAAGCACGATTTTTAAGAACAGGCAAGAATCAAAAGCAAAAGGTGACAGAAATATGGTCAGAATCCTGAATGCAACTTTTCAGTGACTATCATATAGAGACAAAAAGAAGTATTATAATCACCTTGCACAGAAAAAAGAACATGTAAAGAGGAAAAACAAGAATCTTCTTCCAGAAAATTCAAGAAATCACTGGGAAATTCAAATCTAGATTAGAAATGCTGAAAGACAAATGGGAACATATTATCTGACTAGGTTAAAATAAAGAGAAGATGGAAACAACATGCAGAAGAACTACAGGGAAGGGATAAAAAGAAGATTGACCCGTTTGAAGAGGAAGCCTATGAAGAAGAACTTTTAACATTAGAAAGTGAAGAGAAAGCTGCTCTGAAAGCACTTGGAAGGAATAAATCACCTGGAGTAGACAAGGTACCAATAGAACTATTCCAAGCTGCAGAAAATGAATTGGTCCAAATCCTTAAAAAACTATGTCAACAAATATAAACACAAAACAGTGGCCCACACACTGAAAATATTCAATATATATTCCAATGCCAAGGAGGGAGATGGGTCCATTGCACTGATTTACAGTATCAGAGGCTGTATGCCTTTGCACCCCAGTTGCTGGGAAACTGGGGCAAGAGGGGCCTGTTCCTGCTTGTGGGATCCTGTGGACAGTTGGTTTGCTATGATGTGAATGCTGCGCTAGATGGACTCGTGGTCTAATCCAGCACGGCTCTTTCTTATGTTCTTAAACTGAGCAGAGTTAGGGAATTCTAAAAAGAACACACTCAAATAAAGACAGTTGGCCCCAGCAGATGAAATACATTTGGTTTATTTCTTTTCTCACTGTTATTTTTACATATACATATATCATATACATATGTGAAATCCTTCACTGGTTTGTCCGTTTTTTCATAAACATAAAAAGCCATTCAGAAGGCTTTAGGCTTTGTTGCACCAAAGCAACATTTTTCCAACTTTTATATATATATATAAAAACCAGAAACAAAAAACAAAACATAGTTGTCATAGTCATGAACATATACACAGGAAAGGGGTGGGGGAAAGACTACAATATCTCACAGCTTTATGACATCGGGCAAATTGTCTGCATACCATAAAGGGGTGACTCCAGCAATGGTAAAACAGAGGGAGTGTATTTATATACAGAAAAATAAAAGCAAATGTAAACTTAATCTCAAAAATATTATTTCAATGATATAAAACAATATCCACATAAGCGAGTCCTTCCCCCCCTATGGAAGAGGATCTCCATTAAGTGCCTTCATTTAATATGAAATTGCCTTTGCAGTACCATGAAGAGGGAAGAGAGCTCTTAAGGAAATTCTCTGGTACCTGTACAGAATATTGAGAAAATGCTTTGGACCCTTTGGCTACTGGTATGAAGGCAACAGGTTGTGCTTTGCCTCTTTATGTTCCCATAGGGAGAAATCAAAACCTTCTAGGGCAGAATCCTGGCACCTACCCAGGTATCATAGGTGGCAGTTTCAGGCTCCTGTCTGCCAGAACATAATCTACTCTACACCTCAAAAGAAAGTGACTGATTGATTAACTGATTTGGTCTATAATGCAGTTGGCCAAGGAACAGTTGGAAGGGCAACATTTGAACAAGCTAGATTAGCAGGTTACCAATATGCTTATGACTTCGGTCTGCTGTTCCACTCTCAAATCATGGAAAAGAATGAAGGTTACTGTAGTCTACAGTTCAAACTTGGTTGCTGCTTAGATTTTAGATTAGGATACTGACAGATGATTACTTTTTTGGAACCATTTGAAGACAAAATTTTAACAAGGTATTTTATCCATGTTTTGTTGCTGACATTGCAGGAATAACTGTTTTGTCCTCCTACTATGCCCTATGATGACCATCTTCTATCCCTCAGAGAGATCACAGTGTATAAGCTCATACCAGCAAGGACAAATCATTTTATGGGCAAATGTACATGAAAATATTAGACTAAAACCTTTTACAGAAGCGTACCAATGGTTGCAAACGATTTGGAGGGAAAGAATACTATGTGCTCAAGCTCTTTGCTCCTGACTCCGTGGGGTTCTAGTGACTTCTGTTCTCCACCACAGTACCGGGCAATGCTCACCACCAGCCCGTTTACTCCATGTTGCCTTCTAACCAGTTACACACAGGCATATCTTTAGGACAGAGTTGATTACCTTTGATAAAGTCTGGCCTACTCTCTTTGAGAGAACTTTGATGTAGGTAATGCCTTTGAACCTGAAGATGTGCCTTCTATTTTAGTTAATTATTGTGTCTGCCTCAGTAGAACCAGAGTTGAGAACCTCTTGCTGATCCAAGAAAGGGTAAAGTCGAGCATCATCTTTTCAGGGTTCTTCTCATTCTAAAGTGAAGACTTTGCCACCCATGACACAGGCCATTGGCCTAGAACAGCCTTGGTCTGGCCCAGCCCTCCTGCAGAACTCCAGGGAGAAGCTGAGTTAAGCTGTTTTTACTGAAACAGACACAAAACACAAATAAATTGGATCTGATAAACAGCTGCAGATTTCAACTTCAATACTACTATGTACACCTGATGGAGTTTTATGTACTGCTCCTACTAACACATAACAGAGATTCTTTAAGCTCTCGGGAAAAACAAATAGCGCACAAGTATCAGGTTTTACAAGGGAATTGTCACCACTAGGTGACAAAGCAAATAGGTAAAGAAGAATGGTGCTGAAAGATCAGCTTGAGGTGACACTTTTCTGTTAGAAATGATCAAGATCAACTCCTCCTCAGTTTCACTAAATACCTGTTAGTCACACCACTTTTTAAAGAGATACAAAGGATATAAAGTGACATCATTACTGGACTAACCTCTAATGCTGCAGCGATATATATGATTTTGAAACTCACAGAATTCTGCACAAGGGAGAATAGAAAGCTAGCTACAGCTATATATTCACCCAAGCTGCTGCAATCATTTTATAATTTCAGTCACTTCAGATATTCTAGACAGATATTCTAATCACAGAAAACTTTAAACACAAGTCACAATGATTACTGAGGACAGGGTCACCTAATCCAATAGCAGACATCACTTGTTCAATTTTGTATCTCTTTATCTGAAACAACCAAGTGCCAGTTTATTAAGTGCATTTGTGTATGAGAGACTATATATCCTAATATGAGTCAGGCACAAAGATGCTGCTGATTATATAATTACTCATTATTCACCCACAGATGAGGCTGGTCGTGGTGCCCTCCAGATGTGTTTGCCCAATGGCCATGCTGCCTGAGGATGATGGCCATGGTAGTTCAGCACATCTGGTGGGCACCATGCTGGGGGAGGTGGTTGTAGAAGAAATGCTGTACCAGTTTAGCTATCCTGATTAGGGGAGAGCAAGCACCTTTTTCAAGGGCCCAGCAATAATTTCTGAAGGCCTATTGTATTAGTTTGTGTCTAACAACAATGGGATCAGACCGGGGGTCTATCTGACCCAGCAGGTTGTGCTGTCTAGCAAAGAGTATCATGAATTTCAGGAAGAGTTCTTAGTTCTTCAGCCTGGGATCCATTAAACCACACTGTTGGCCCTTTCTGCAGGCACTGCACTAAGCAGCTATGTGAAGCAAAGTAGCTTTAGACGTGGTTCCTAAAAGATGGCGCATGTGCAGGCAGGGCACTCCACTAGACCCAGACAACTTGCTGAACATCCCACCCCTGAATCCACAAGAATGGAGCTGAAAATCTGCTTCTGAAACCCAGCTCTGTCTTGGTTTCGGTATCATTCCTATGACAACTTCAGCAGGCATGCTTCACTGCTGAGTAGTGCTGAACTGGGATGACAGGGGGCATTTGTGAAAATGCCCTCCAATAATGTATTTGGGCCATACCTTTCCATTAAAAATGTCCAAAGTGGCATATATAATCCCTACATATGGGCCCAACTTTCACTTGCTTAAAATCCTGGCTGCCTCTTATCTAAAACTCCATCCCCAAGAGAGCCAGCTGTTCACTGTAGTTTCTACGCATTCACAGTTGCTTTGGGAGTGATAAAAACCAAAATAAAGCAGACAGAAATAATCACTATTTCTATTGCATTCTACCACAGGAGCCATGTATCCTACAACGTCTCACTCACTACCGGAACAAAATAAACGTTAAATACTGTATTTACCAAACCATTCTCCCAGTCGATGAAAAATTAACATGCAGTAAAAACTCTCCTCATTTCTACCATTTGTGTCCAGGGGAAATATCTTACAATTTGAAAAAGTCACTAGCAAGATATCCAAAATAATTTTTACAGACATTTTAATCAGGAAAGTGAGAAGAACCAACCTGATCCAGCCTTGGAAAAAGGAACTGTTTTGAGGTCTTAATCTTGCCTATAATTGGCTTGGCTATTCTCCAAATGGGGTATTACCCACCAGAGTCTATTCCTTCTGCATATTTTTATTTCCAATCAAAATTCAAAATGAATACAGAATACAAGGCATAACAATTCTTAACATTGGGCATATCTGGTGTATTTAAAGTCCTGAACATCCATTATTCCAGAAATTCTTACAAGAGGGGATAGGTAGGCCAGTGTTACCATCGCACCATTTGCAGATGTGGAGCTGAGAAATAGAAGCTCACCTTAAAATACGCACATGCAGATTCAGATCACTGCTATAAGTGGCAATGGACTAGCAAGATCCGACCTAGTGCTTGCTTGACAAAAATATGTGCTTGTATCTTTTAGTTGGTCCACGTATCAGATAAAGCAGCCATTGGCAGTTTGTAAGAGAAATTTAAAATCAAAGGCTAATTCCCAGACAGACCAGTCAGTTTGGGGAATGTGAATGAATTGCCTCTTTGCTGATAATGGCATGCAGGGCTTGCTTCAAAGCTGAAAATTAAATGGGTCATAACTTTGGCTCAAGGAAAACACCAAGCTATAGAAACGGCAAGATAGAAAGCTGATACCAAACATGTAGCAACTGTTCTGCCAAACCTCACTGAGCTCCACAATTTTAAAAGTGAGAGAGTGCAAATGACTCCTTTGAACATTGACTAGACTAAAGGTGTAATCCTTTTGCAAGTCTTGTAAGCTCCCGGACTCGAAGGCTTACATGGATCCTATGCAGAGCAGAAGGAGCAGTGGTCTCAGCCTTCCCGTCCTCCATGTTTAGCCCATCTAGCAGGGGTGCATGGGAGGAGGAGGGAAGAAGGCTGGAGAGACCCAGGACAGCTCATACCCTGGCCTCTCTAGTCTTTCCCTTCGCATAAAAACAACTCCCTTTTCCCCTCTCCAAGATTGTTTTTCCAGCTTTGGAGACTATTTGGTGCAGTTCTTTCCATGCTGACTACAAGGGAAAAGGGGAGCTCCAAGCACCATCCTCCGCCTCAGTTCTGAGAATCCAAAATACCTTGTGGCTCTTCACATTCTGTCTAGCAGCCATTAGATTGCTCCCCCGTGGCTTTTCTAATATCCTAAGAGTTTTCTTTCCTTCTTTCATCCCTTGTAAAAAGATACTCTAAGTGAAATAGATACTCTTATCTCCTTACAATGAAACAGGATTGTCCCTAAGATCTCAGGTTAGTTAACTTGGGATGATGGATTTGTCTGAAGATATAGAAAGTTCTGAGTGTGCACACATGGCAGGGAGCCACCGGCATTTGGAATAACTTCCAGCCATTTCAGTTTAAAAGAAATCAGGCTGACTTGCAAAAAGCCATCCACTGAAGAGGAGAATGCATTTGCAAGTAAATGCAAGGAAAATGCTTCACAAGTAAATCCACAAAAGTTATGTGTCCTTCACATTCTACAAGGCCATCTCCCACACATATTTTTGTTACTAAATTGTGAAAAAGATGGTGATGATGATTTGAGTTCCTATCTGAATACAATTCTTCCCTGCTGTAAATGAGCAGGTAAGTGGCAATTTATAAGCCTGTTCGGAATATTTCATAGCCTAGTTAGTTCCTGTATAGTGAATTAAGCATTGGCAGGTATCCCAAACACAGATTTATGCTACCCTGAAGGCTATGCGGATTCTCAATACTTTGGGAAAAATTGAAGCCTGAATAATATTTGTAACTGTATTACACAAAGCACCTATGTAAGTTAACAGACACATAGTAGCATAAGCTCCTTTGCAGTACTCTGCTGTGGAAAGTGGAATTGGTACACTAGCAGCAGAGCTTAAGGTTAGGTTTAAGCTTAAGGCCAAAAGAGATGGGGAGAGAAAGTAGGCTAGGAAGCAGCAAGGAAGGCTGTATTTCAGAAAGCTGCTGATAGTGCTGCTGGCCACAGAAATCACTTAAGCATCAAAAGGTTCAAACAGAAGGCACCCTGTGGTCTTAACACTTGACATTCTGTACCTGAACAGGTTTGCTGCATGAAACCACCAACACAACCATCCAAGTCACAGAACCCCCATGGGACTGGAACATGCAGTCTATTACACACTGATCTATTTTTTTGCCCCAGCTGTCAAATGCAAAGTGAGAGAACACTGGGAGAGCCTTCGCAGTATAAAAATGCAATATGGAGACCAATACACACATGCACAGAGTCTTGTTATAGCAGACATTGCCTGAAGTGCAGGAGAAAGGTGCTGAGATCTTAAAAAGAAGAGCCTTGCACATTTTCTATCGCTGACTTGCAATCCCTGCAGAAAGTGAGCAATACTAGCAAATACCAAACAAGGAGGAAGTAAAATCTACACGTTAACTTAAATGCAGCAGTCTTAGTTCAACTCAAACTAACAATGCCGTATGTGAGAGATGGGGATGCAGCAAGATATATAATTCACCAAGTTCAGGGATGCGTGGGTGAAGTGGAAATACACACTCTTGTCCGTGGGTGAAGTGGAAATACACACTCTTGTCCGACAGGTATCTCCCATCAGCAAGGCGCACACCTTCCATGCGAGACCAGAGCAACTAGAGTTTGTCTCATGAGTGAATACACTAGTTAGATCTTTACAGATCAAAGCTGCTTTTCAACATACTGTCATGATCCAGCATGACCAAGAAGCAGATCTCCAAGACAGGGCTATGTAGGAGGCACTCAATTCTCAGTGGCCAGCAGCCAGTGTGGCACCTCCCAGGATAGTGGGAAAGCTCCACTTCCACCTCAGCTGTGTCTTCAAGTGCATCCCCTGACCTTATCCCATGGAAGTTAACAGGAACGGGCCAGAGCTACCCTTGCAGCGACAGCGCTGCGGTAAAGGCAAAGCCCGCTTGGTCCTCATGGACGAAGACTCTGCCCGGGAAATGCACTGCCCTCTCCTGAAGGGAGATCCTGGCGCTCTCGCTGCATACGCTTCACACATCATCATGATGTGCACGTTGCTAGTAATAAATAATGCTTCTGCACATAAATAAAGAACACATGCACACAAAATGGCAGCGCTTCAATTATTTGCTGTGCTGCTGTTCACAATAAGGCTTCGGCATTCATTAGGGTACACACACTGAGAACAGGAGTACCCATGAAGCACATTCCAGCTTTTAATTGTTCAACTTAAATAGCCGTCTCAGGGGCCGTTTCAGTGATTTGAAGTACCATGAAATAACGCAGTAACGAAGCAGAAGGCATCCAGCTGTTACTCAGCCTTTTTAAGAGAACCACGCTGTGGATGCAGTTTCCATCCTGTGGTCTTTCCTAAGCGTTTCTCCAGGAGCGGGGGGGGAAGGAGCAGGAGAAGAGAATACAAACATGACCCAGAGGGATGCTTCTGATATGCTATTAGGTATGTTCTGCTTGTGGGGGAAAGAGCAAAGCAGGCATTTCTCTGGGGATCTACCCTTCAGCATACTGATCTTCCCAAGTGGCTGCTTTCTCCTTCCTGCACTAGCAGCATCGATAGCAACAAATCTCTTTTCCCACTGTTGGCTCTCCACTTTTCTCTGCTGATTTTGAAAAGCAAATGGAAAAAGAAAGTCGTATTTGGTGGGGAGGGGTGACAGGGAAATGAAAGGAAGGTGGGGGTCTGCCATACTTTAATGTTCACTCCTTTTCTTTAGATTTTGTCTGCAACCATGCACAAACTCATGCATTCCATCATCAGGAGCCCCGAGTCAGGTACTAGCTTTCCTACAGAACATGTCCACCACTAAAGATTGGCACAAAACATGCTTCCAGTCCATGGCCCACACTCTTCAAGAAGAGTGTTCCCTACTCCATTTTTTTTAAAACAACACTGTTCTAGAAAGCACTGCCAAGACACAGCTGTGAAGCTGTACCTGAACTGGGCCTCCAGTGATGCCCACATCGCCATCTGCTTTCCAGGCAAGGCCTGTGGCAGCCTGACCAAGACAGGTGCTCTCTGCCCTGCCAGGCAGTATTTCCATCAGGTACGAGGCAGGGTGCATGGGTCAAATCAAGGCCAGTGCCAAAGAAGAGGGCACCTGAAGTGACAGCACCTGCAATGACAACTAAGTGGTTCTGTTGGTACAAGAATCATACTTTCTTTTGCATCTTGGCAACCCAATGGACAGCATTACACTGGAGCTGGTCCCTAGAGCAGGCTCCCCGCTGCATGGGTATGGGGCAAGAGACACCACCGTTTCTTTTATGCAATGTGCAGCTGGGCAAAGGAATGTGCAGCTGAGCAGTTGATGAGCCTGCACTGGAGGTCATCAGCTGATTGTTCCTACTGCACCCTTCATTATGAATGCCAGGTCAGAACTTGCATCCAAGTCACTCTAAGAAGAAACTGCTACTCTGGAGTTCGCAAACCACTGAGTAACACCCAGCAAACAGCCATAAAGGCTAAGTGCAGAAGACTCCTGAATAATTCAACTTATCCCATCTCCAGTTCTGGAAAATGCCACATAAAATCTCAGTGTGTTATTGCATCAATGCTTTATGCCTATGGCTTCTCTTTTTCATATGATCTGTTTCACATATCTAACCTCTGTCCTCACTCTTAAAAATACTGGACTTTCCTCACTCCCAGGCAACCTTTTAATGACATCTTAACTCTTTCCTTGTTTTTTACCACAGACAAAACACGAACGGCCCTGAAGGCAAGGTCACTCCTCCTTTACAGACAAGGCTAATCAGTCCTGTCACTTCACAGCCATGCCTCCCATCTGAATTAACTGGACAGTTTTTGCCAGCTTGTCTGAGCCAGCAATGGAAAAGGAGAGATGGAAAAGGAGAGATTGCAGAATAATGCACAGGCCACTGCCACTCAAATACCACCACTCTCCCTTTTGTTACCCAGTCTTGTTGCCAGTATCCACCTGTCTACCTTAGGGATGGGCTTCATCCTTTGTGATGCACACACCTGAAGATTCTCAAAGCATGAGGGCAAATCTCCTTCAGAGAGTGTAGGTTATAAGGTAGCCTGTCCCTACTTGATTCTTATCCCCCATTTTATTAACTGGAAACTATTTACCCGCTCTAATTGCTATTGCCAGGCATATAAGGTTTTTAGCACAGAGATGCAGAGAAAAACAGAAAAGCATCACTAGCTGCCCTGTAGAGTGTCCTGGTGAATGTAGCCTTCAGTTTGGGACTCTACATTTAGGAGTACAATTTAAAGTTCTATCATACATCTCTCTAGTCTTTTTTCTCCTCATTTCTAAAGCAAACAACGTCTAGGGAATGTTACCCAGTCTGTCCTGGTTGCAACCATGAGTAGAGAAATACATTCCACCTCCCAGGACCTATAAATCAACAGCATACTGCAACATGTGTCCTTTTCTTTGAGTTGCCATTGATCTGGGGGCGAACTGAGTAACCTGCCATGTTTTTTAAATGGTTCTTTACCATAGACCTCAAAAACCTTTTCAGCCCACATTACTCTGGTTGGTTCCTTTTCTTTTCATTTGCTTAGGGTGCTTCACTGCACCCTGCTTCACTGCAGGGTGTCGTAATTTTGTCCTGGTCATCTTTGAGGAAACGTCAAAGCTAATACGGCCCTGTACTAGGAAAATGATACTACATGGAAAGATTGATAACCATGTAGCCATTCTCCTTGTTCCCAGTTCCTTTTCTCTTTGTGATTGGAAGAAAAAGACTGGCATGGTGAGGGGGAGAGATATCTACATAGGGATCTTCTGGCCAATGCAGGCTATTTGGAATGGTGCTGCAAGAAAAAGAAAATCCATAACTGTGAATGCCACATCTCTAGGCCTCCTTGAAAGCTGGGTAACATGCTGTCTGCTTCAGGTTTTCCAGCATTAAGAGTAAAAATCCCACCTGCAATCAATTAGATTATAAAGAACCTGAACATCCATGAATTTCTGGAGAAGGTCATCATGCCAGTGGAACATAAATACACTTCACAACTGTCTGTACAGCAAATGCACAATGATACTCTGCTGGGAACTTAAGGGTTGTGTGAATTGCTGACAAAACAGAGAGGGCAATGGTGCAGACCTTCAATTAAGAGAAATGAAAAAGCAAGGCCGGTTTTGGCCAGAACCACTTCTGTTCACCTAAGGCCTTCCTCCCTTTCCACCTCCACAGACTCACTTCCCTCCATTTTAGTTCTTTATGTCCAGCCATTTCAGTCCCTGACTGAGTGGCCTCTCAAAGATCACAAGAACTGTTCAGTCTAACAGCCTAGCTACTGGCAGGGCTCCCCATTGTGCGTGGTTACAAAATGTAGCACCGCACCAGCACTTTCATGTAGCCTCTCCTATGGTGGGTCAATGCCACCTTGGCAAATGCAGGGAACTGTTCATAAAGCTAGGAAACTCATTAAGCTTCTATTTTGCTCCAGTTACTTCCCCTGCTGCTGAAAGGCAGCAGACAACTTAAGAGATGAACATTACAAGCCAACCAAAGAAGATAAAAGATGAGAGAGATATAAATATATCGTGAAATCTCTCCCCTCCCACTCCTTGTTTTCTCCCACTTTTTTAAAAGGATTAGATCAGTTGCTCTATGATAAATTAACTAGGCAAATGCAAGGCTGAAGCCGAAACATCTCCAACAACCTGTACAGAAACAACAAAATTTACAGTTGAAAATGTCACTAACACCCCATTCAGGCAGATGTGTTAATTTTGTTTTGTTTTTGCAAAGAGCAGGTCATTAAAGAGAGAGAGAAAGAGAGAGAAAGAGAGACAGGAAGATGTTCCTCCGGCCCGACTCTGTTGCCCTAAGTAACCTTCTGCTTGATGCTTGGGGTTTCAGGTCTATAGTCCTTCCTCTCAGAAATGTTACGTTTCACCTTGGCACTAACAGGAGATTCCTGGTTTAACGAGGGGCTTGAGTGGCATTTCTTCAGGCCCAGACCATCGTTCTCACCGGTGCTCACCAGCTCTTTTCCTGCACCCTCTTTGAGGAGAGACACATATGTTTCATAGCGAGTTTTCTGGAAGAAAGGAAAAAAGGGAAGACTCAGCCTGCAAGGTAAGTTTCACAAGCTACGCATGAAGGAGATTTCCTACTAATTAAGAACACCTGTTCACCTGAATGCAAGAAAATTAGCAAAACAAATTGATGTGCCATTAATCAGAGTATTGAGGTTGAAGTTGCCATTAAAATTTCACCTAATGATTTAGTGATTCCTCCTCCAGAATTAGGTGGTTCCTTCCTCGAGAGAGACATCTGAAGTTCTCAGAGAGTGGGACAGCTCCCTCCCCTTAGACAAGGATAAAATCCTCTTGGAGAATTTCCCACTTACCAAGCAAGATATGGGGATTTTGAATGCCCTCTAGCAGAAACTCCTTACTGAATCTGTGGGGATGACCACTTTCATCCTTGCCCTATTATTCCAGGTGCCTTGGATGCTCTTGGTATTTCCAGAAGCTCCTATGGTGGGTGGGGCCAAATGCAAAAAAGGAGAGGGCCAACAACACCAAACCTTTTTGCTTCACGTTCTGACTGACAGCACCTAGACCTTAGAAAAGCCAGTGAGAAGAGCCAAAGAGCCATGTAAACCACCATGGGTTGCTTGGAGGGAAGAAAGGCAACATATAAATGTGATAATGAGTAAAATTAGAAATCAGTAAATGCATTCCAGCTTTTTAGATCTGGGGGAGATGGGGCATAGCTATCTGGAGAACTGACGTAGACACCTGGGGTTCTATGCTCTGTCCCAGAAGATTTGGTATATTTTTTGAAAGCACTAAGCTGCTGAATTTGTTCTCTGTAGAACAACCTGCAAGCCTCCGTTAAGAGGGTAGTTCTATCTGCAGCTTCGCACAATGGCTCTGTGATTAACTCAAATGACTAGTGATTAACTGGAATTGAGGCAGAGGAGGGGGAGAATACCTTTAAGAGAGGCAAAATGCACACTCTGGCCCTTCCAGAATGATTTACTTAACAATGAATCCTCTGACCTGTCCTCACTGAATCTGTGCAAATGTTGATGAAGTTGCCCACACATTCTTCAAAGGGGAAAAAAGCCATTGTCAAGTTATTTGCATTCCACAATAAAGAAGGGGAAAATGTACATTCTCTTAATTTAGAACAAAATTCAGGTAATCATTATTATTCAAATGCAATAGGACTTCAAGGCTTTTATAAAAAGAGCACCAGAGAAAAAAGCAATGGTCATGAATGGGATTTGCAAAAAGCTTTTGAAGAGACAGACTCATGCAGAGAAAGATCACAAGAAAAATCCACTTTAAAATTAAATGAAGAAAGACAGTCATGTATTTGGTATCTATACTTCCAGAAGCAGTGGGGAGACAAATAAATTAAATAGCTAAAGCGTGTCACTCAAAAATAAGGGAACTAGCGAGATGAATATTGATAGCAGGCTGGACTGATTCATGCTTCATCAGATAATGAATATGCCAGAGAGCTGCAAAGAGAGGAAATGGTGCTACAATTGCTGGGTCATCATACAGTAATTCTATAGCCCTGGAGCTTTTCTGCCTGTACACTTGTCTGTCAAAAGTTACAGCATCTCCCTTTATTTCCTCCCACCCCTAGGGTTCTTCTCCAGTTAGAAGGCCAGTCATCCAAAATCCATCTAGTGTCATTAATATCTTTATTAGGTCAACTGGAATATTTAAACGATGTACAAACTTTGGGGATCTGCAGATCTCTTCAGCAGGCAGCTTGGCAGGGAAATAAGAGGGCAGACAGCAGGGAAAGGTTGACTGCATGTTGCACTCAGGATGGATGCATAGTCGTAATTCTGTTTTCCACCCACCAAGGAACCCACCTGGTCTACCCAGGATGCCAACAGCTTTGTTAATGGTTGGATTTCTTTTTATGCTTAATGATGTATCAACAATAGCCTGCAACCTTCTTGTTTCCAGGGGCCCCAGGGGTGCTTAACTTCAAGCCATTATATCACATGGCAAATCTAATCTGGAATGTCTGCAAACCTTGCTTCTCCGTATCATCTTAAGACTATACCAACATAGACATCCTTGGCTAAAACTTTCAATCAACCCTTTTCCCCACTTCTAACTCACCCACCCCACTGGCCTTTTTAGCATCTTTCCTAATCTCAAAACCTTGTACATTTCTGTGACCTCTGAGTAGCCTTACACAGGTACTTTGGCATTTTCTTTTGGCCAGCATAGCTGATTTTGTTCTTTGTTTACCACTGCTTTATTTATCACATAAATAAAAACAGTCTGCTGTTCCTAATTTATGAAGTACGTCTACTTAAAAACAGAACAGCAGCTTGGCTGGATCAGACCAAAACTCCACTGGGTCCTGCAACCTGATTCTCACATCAGCTAACCAAATGCTGAAAGATGCTCATGCACAAGTCAAAAACAGGCAACCATCCTCCAGTCATGTGCCCCAGCAACAGATATTCAGAGGTGAGCTACTTCGCATAATAAAGGACACAAGCAACAGGTTTATGTGCATGCAGAGATGTCAACTGAATGGAGGTGCTGTGCAGAAATCACAGCAAGGAGTCATTGCTCACAATCTCAGAAATGACATTTCCAGGTCACAGGGAGTCCTCTGAGCAGTAACACTTCAAAACCTGCTCCTACCAATTTAAGTATGATGGTTAAGGACCTCTAGCAGATGTTAAATTCTTTCAAGAAACAAAGGCATCCTTGAAGCAGAGGAATGCTAAGGCAAAGCTTCCTTGCGTTGGTGATTACTCAGCACTCATGCCTGTCCCGGGCAGAAAGACCTCTTCTTGAGAACCATAGCTTGCATCCTTCTTAAAGCAGGAAGAGGGTTGTCCTGCCAGAAGAGGCAGCTGCTTGAATGCTGCACTATAAAGAACTCTGCACTATTTTCCTGCATTTCTGCCTTCCCTCTGGAACTAAGGCCATGTTCACATGGCTTCTTCTCCATTCAAGTTCCCCGTATCCATTTATGAAAGTTCACTAATGCTATATCCATGCACCTTGTAATCTCGCCAGTGCCCACACACCACAAAGTCATTGCTACAGCTCTTAAAATGCCGTGACACAATTAATTTGCTCGCCTTCAGGATTATTTCCACAACCTCTGCTGTCTTTTAAATGGTACTCAGCCACAGCATACCTCAAATTCCAAGTAATGATCTTTCAGTTTGTAGTCCTCCACTTCCTTGCCTTTAAGTTTCTTATCTGGAGGGTAGGAGCGGTGCTCAGCTAGTTCAGTGGAGATTTGCTTCAGTTTACTTTCATGTGATTTTAGCTGATCATCCTGTAGGGAGAATGCAAGAGCTAGAGGAAATATAGTGTGTTTCATGTATGTTAAGGATATAACCAGAAGCAGAAAATATGGGCATTATATCAGTTCCTTTTTTATTTTAACGAATCAAGATCATTATATACTACTAGGGATGTTCCAGTTGAAAGACCTAGTCAAGCTTACTAGTAAACTTACTGGGTAATTCTCGAGCATGGCATGGGTCCAAGTGCAGGAGACCAGTGCAACAGGGATTCCTACCGATACTGGTTGTTTACACAAAGCTTCCAACACCCTGCCAGACTGTTAAAGAGGAAAGGTGTTCCTGTATTTGCCTGTTCCTGTGTAAGCAGCTGATTCACAAGGACATTTCCTGATGGGGTTGTGCAGCCGAATACATGAACATATGGAGAACGGAAGCCATACTTGCTTGTGTGAACTAGGCCCAAAGCAGGCCTTGACAGTAATTCAAAGTCAGGGATTCTGCCATAGCAGTAAACCATGGCAATGGCAAACCAGAAAAAAAGGAGGAGGCGATTTACACACAAGGGAGGAGGAAGAAGGAAGACCTTGAGAGCCCAAAGCACACTGGGAACTAGGAAATCTGAACTGAAATTATATATGTTTGCCATGGGATCTTCTATCCTGAGCTGGGGGTTGCTGCATCTGTAGTGGGCTGTGACTTGGACTGCAGGGCATAGGCAGGGAGTCTCACATTTTCTTTGCAAAGTATTGCTCCGGGGCTGCTATTTGCTCCCAAAGTGCTATTACTGAGAAATACACTTTCAGAGGCAAATGGAGACAGGATTTTCCATGGGGAAAGCAGCATTTGCCGGGGGAGCGGGGAGAGTCTGATTCTGCTCTTGCAACAAACTATGGTCCCAATTGTTGTGCCTCTGCAGCTCTTTCTTTTTTAGGAAGTTTCATCCACTCTGGATCTTATTCGGACACAGAAAGAGGGCCTGCCACAGTGAACCCTATGGGTAGTCACATCTTAATTCAGGCCGCAACCAGACAGAACAGGCAGTTCACCTTTTTCACTCTGCAGTACCGGTAGGAGTCTACTGGCAAGTTCTCTAACTGACAGATAAAAGCAGACAGCATTCCACTTGTCCCTGAACTCACCTGCTTTGAAAACATAACACTTTCCCCTCCCAGCCTTTTGGCTAAAAGCAGTTCACATCCTGCCTGTCCGTGGCTCTTCTTTCTACCAATATGCAAACCACATTTTCTGTAACAGGAGCTGCATTTAAAATTGGGCAGCCAGATACCTGTTTCTGTATTGCAACAATGAAAACAACTATCCAAATCAATCAAGTAATTTGAGAATTATTACAGGGATCTATGGCAGGTCCTGTCCATAGCCGCTTTAAAGAGAGGGCAAACATAGCTAGATTCTACTTGGTTCTTCATTCAACCGCCAACTCTGACCAAGTCCCATGAGAAACCCCCTGGCAGGGAGGTAGCTTAGTCTGTCTCAGTTCTAGTCTCAAGGAAAACCATGCCCTTCCTGCTAGCACTGGGTGATCAAGACTCATCACCAAAGGTCTCACAGGGAGATACAGTCCCTCTCTTGCCAGATGCAAGCCCCCACCCCAACAAATACATATTGCTCATCGTGCAATAATTTGTTCCTAATAGTCATTACTCCCACTTTAACTCACTTCAGGGTACTCAAGATTCTCTCCCTTCTAAATTTGGGAGGCTAACTGGCCCAGAAGCCTGACAGTTTTCAGAGAACCTGGAATTTGCTCTTGGTGCATATTTTCCACAAAACATAAAATGTTTTGTTTAGATTTTACTTGCAAAGAGGGAATACATTTCCAAGGGAGCGAAGTCTAAAATTGTGGCCCATTTGTAGGACTGATCCAGACCCACAAGGCTCTGAACTCTTCTTTAAATGTGCGAGAATCCTTCAACCAATGTGGTCACACATACAAGTCCCTTTTCCTCAGATGTAGATACCTGTCCCATCCCTCAAATGTTGTTTGAGAAAAGTTTTTCTACAGCTGTATTTTATGCAGTGGGTTAGAGGCATGTTTGAAATAGGGTTGTATATTCATCACCTGAGATAATTTGGTTGTGGAGGCAGGTAAGAGAGGGCGGCTAAATTTCTTCTGGGATCCAATAGCAGCTGGAAATGGTGGGGCAGAGAAAACAGCTGCTACAGAATTGATCTTATTGATCCATGACTCCATTTCTTCTGGGCTCCTGTGGAAGAAGAACAAATCAGTAAGGGTACCTAGACTCAAACTTGTTTTGTTATCTCTTCAGTACAAGTTCCCAGTGTCCAAAACTAGTTTACTCAGAAACCAATTTGCCCATTTGAGTTCAGATGAATGTTCTCTTTCATTACCAAATCTCACTCCAGGTTTTTGAACATGTGCAATATCAAGGTGTACTTTGGGAGCCACAGTTTGGAAACATGTAGGGCATGGTTCAATACCATGCCATGCTGCCCCCTTCTACTTGGTTGTTTTTAAGTGGCCTGCCTGTGTTGATGATGTGATATCATGTTTTGCTGTCCTTCACTCACGGCATGAAGATGGACCTGCATGATCCTCCTCCTCGGAGCTAGGGCTGTCCTGGCTATGACCACACTGACAATGGAAGCTCCTAATGAGACTGCTTCAAGTATGCTGCAGGGTTCTAGGTAGAAAGATGACTGAAAATTTAAGAGGGCATCTGTGTACTTATTTACTGCATGTGTTCTAAAGCTCACAACTGGTTTTGAACTTAATAGCAAATTCATAATACTTTGATCCCAGTTTGCTACAGAAGTTTAGCAACAAACAGGTGAGTTTTGAGCAATGAGTTGACTACTTACAAAATTCAATGGCATCACTATCCCAAACAAGCTACAGCCACACAACATGGGGCAAAGAGTATTTGGGATGACCATCAAGGAGCATGGAGCACTAGGAAATGATGGCAAACCTATTGCCTGCTTTCCCAGGTGCAGAAGCAGCAACGCGACCTTGGTGACACACACGAGAGTAACACCGTCATCCAAGATCATATCATAGCCTGTGGCTGTATTATCAGATATCATTTGTAGAGAAACAGCAATGGCTGCTAGGCTGGCTGGTACCTGACAAGAGACCCGCAGCCTGATTCGCTGGAAGAGGCCCCAGGCATTAATTCCCCAGGCTCTCTTCTTCTGGCTTAATATGCTGCGTTCCCAAAAACATACCATCCTGTTATGGGGAAAACATAGGCACTTATTTCCCCCAACCATTCTGCCCAATACATTTCCCAAGCAAAAACAATAAGGACACAAAAATGGAAGGTCTACTCCATGTATTAAAGAAACTGAGAGAAAGAGAGCACACCGGATAGTCTGATATGTTAGCAATCTGCCCCCAAACACCCCTATGACTCTTACCTAACTTTTAACATTCCCAGTTACCAAAAGTTCCAGAGTATAAAATACCTGTTTATCTTGACAGTTCTTGTGCCATTACCATTTGTCACTTTTCCATTAAAATCTTAGCTTTGAGCAATGCCAATTGATGTCAAAGTAATATTTTTGAACTTGTTTATTAAGACTATAAAGGTTATCTGTACTTTTGAAGTAGTATTTCTTTATATTAGATAAAATGTTTTCCCCCTCTTGGGCTGTCATCTAGGGTGGTGTTAGCACAATATATAACCCCAAGACAAGCCACCAGAGTGTTGAGAAACCTGTTACTGCTGCCTGACTAGAAATACCAAAAACTATGTTAAGCCCTTGACAGACCACCTGACTTGGCTGGTGCCATATTCAGCTTGGTGAGTCAAAACAGAATTGCTTCAGTACTTGTTCAAGCAGCCAGTGGGGTTTTCATTTTCCTGTAGTTTGTACTCAAAAATTGAAACAAATGTTTTAAAAGAATTAGGGGAAAAATGGTTTGCAAAAATGGGATAGGAGAAAAGTCATTGTTCATGACTACACTTTTCTTGAATGACACAAAAAAGATAACCTACTGAGCTTGGAAAAGTAGGACTCTCCAGTCAGCTGTCTTGAGCTTCAAGACATTTGGCTTTTTCTCGTAGTCTGTCGCCTTCGATGCCAATGCATGGTGCACACTGACTGCATTCTTAAGGTCTTCTTCTGATAAAGCCTTGTCGGGTTTGTATTCATCCTATACAAATCAAAATTAAAAGGGTACAACTCATTTAGTTTCTCTAAAAATTTTATTCCTGAGTAAATTCCAATGGAGGCAATAAATAGTACGGCTTTGTAAAAGTCATCACAGGCACATGTGCAAGAAGCCATAATCCTATGCTTATTGACTTCGAAGTACGACCCCACTGCATTGGGTGGGGTTTATTCCAAATAAGTACATACCTAGGATTAGGGCCTTAAAAGTGCCCCTAAAACATGGTTAATCATATTGGGAAGTGCATCTTTTAAACTTTACAATTGCTACAAGCAACACTGCAAGACAATCTTTTGCTGTGGAAGACTGCAGTTTTGTGCATACTTGCCGGAGTATGAATTCCACTGCATGGTAAGACTCTTTTAAGTGGAGGTCTAGGGTTTGAAACTGGGACTGTCTTCATGCAAAAACATGAATTCTGCCAATGCACTAAGACTCTTCTAACACTTCTATCCAGCAGCTAATGCAACAATTTGTGATGCTCCTGAAGGAGTGTCAGGTCCCCCTCAGTAAAGAGAGAGAATTAGGGATGGATCCAAAGGACAGCCTACCATAATACAAGTTTACAGTATCCGGGTTCTCAAGATCTATCCTATACATGTCTGTTTAGAAGTAAGCCATTTAGTTCAATCGGACTTATCAACAGGAAAATGGATGCACAGGATTTCAAGTTTGAATCCAAACTGTGGACTTCATTCTTTCACTGTGATTTTCAGTCCCCCATTCCCAGTGGTGAATGTTTTGCTTAACATACATCTTGAAAATATATTGTTTTGTGTTGCCGTTTTAAAACACGGTTAAGAAAAACATGTCATGGAGAATTCTGGAAGCGAGCAGCATACTCTAACACAGGAAATGTGCAAAACAATTCAAAATAATGTTCGATGCACAAAAACGGCTTCCAGTAGTGTCCACATGAATTACTCATGACTTTACAGGTTGGCTGTTCATTACCTCCACTTCAGCTCAGTGCTAATCCATGGCAAAAACTCCTGCCAAACAGCACCTGTCCAAAATCTGAAGCAAGATAAATCAAAGATCCTTCTGTACTTGGTAGAGCAGATTGACTAATATACTATTTATCCTGCATAGAATGGCAAATCAACAGTCAAGGTGAGCAGAAGAAATGTTTTCAATTGAATTGAAAGCAGTAGAAATGGTTTCAATGGAATTAAAAGTAATGCTGTAAAAAGAAGTACATTTGCCCGTGTGGCAGAGAGATGCACATTAATGACCGTGTGGCCAACCAAATATGCTGCTCAGGCAACAGAGGAAGGGGCTCCTCCACCTTTAACAATCAGGTAGGAGGAGGAATTGCAACATGCACAGTATCCCTCAGCCTTACAGGAGGAGTTGCACACTTCTACAAAACCGTCAGTGGTACAAGGAGCTTTTTCAGTCGAATCACAGTCAAATACAGCTCAAGCATTATTGCCTTTTGTTTCTGTTTGCTCATTTTAACTTGGCCTGTTTTCACTAGTACTACAATTTTAATAGTAAATACATCTAAATTTGCATTTAACACGGAGGCTAGTAGAAGCTTTTGGCAACAACGTAAGACACCCATTCATGCGTCCAAGCTCCGCCTTCCCTAACCTGTGCCATTCATCCATGGCTGATGACAACTGCAAGCAATCCAGTCCATTGACCATGCTGATGAGGTTGAAGCTCAAAACATTAGGGGAATATCAGTTTGGGGAAAGGCTACAAGAGCTCCCCTCTGGGTCAGGAGGCATTCTGGACTTTGTCTATCAAACCTTGTTACCAAGAATTGGATGCTTCTCTGGAGCCATACAAATTACCCCCAGGGCCTTTGGCATAATGTTCCCTAAAATGTAACTAGTGTCTGCACTTCTGATAAGAGACTTAGCTTGAAATCATATTCATGCTTACCTGGAAGCAAGCCCCAGTGAATACAGAGGAACTTACTTTCCAGTAAACATGTATTATGGTTTCATTGCACAATTAAAAGCTAAAAAAGGCTTTCCTTTTGGGGTGTGGTTTTCTTAGCTGTTCAAGAGAGATTCTTCTCCTTGAATGCACAATAGTAAAGCAGCCTAAATGTTGCCTGGAAAATACACATGCAGAAATTTGTCAAACAGATCACATAGATTAGGGCATATGGTACCAGTTCTATTTCCCCCATTTGTTAACAGGCTGAAGAGCATTCCAGACACAACATTTCAAACCAGTTTGGGCTTTTTGTTCCATCCCCATCTCTCAAAATCTTAGGTGACCAGGACAGAGCTCTGTGGATGAAAACGTGGGCTCCAATTCCAAGGGCTCCCACAGAGTTCTGCAGAAGAGGCTGAAATCCAGCACAGTTGAGGAGCAGGCAAATTACCACTTGAGCCACATAACACTGTTTCCAGAGGTTCCTGCAATATACATTTCCCCTACGCAGTGGCATAATAATGGGTATTCCACTAGCAGTTCGAAGGATGTAACACAATATGCTTCTAGGTGGCCCTGAGATAGAAACTTGTCCATCCCTGCTCTAGAAAATATTTTCCTGCATGTCAGCACACACAAGCTTGCATTCTTCTATTTTATCCCTCCTTTCCATAGACACATCACATTTACAACCCTGTTGAATAAGACATTGTGGCAGATTCCCCCTTTTGGTTTTTTTTCTCCCTTTTTGTTACCTCCCAGAGAACAGAAAATGAAACTGAGCCCAGAAACATCCAGGAGGTGGATAATAAATCACAGGCACTTCTATTCTTTCTGCTGTTATGCAATGTTATGCAGACCAATTTAAGCAGTTAATTGTAAAGGTTGCAAGCTGAGCTATTCTGCTTGCCTTGTGCTCATTTATTCAGAAATTATGTTCCCTTTTTTTGGTCCCTTCCCATATTGTGAAGAGAAAAATGAAACAAAGTACACAGGGAAGAAGCTGTCAACATGCACTACATTGGACAAGCTTGCAGAATTTTTATCAAGATTGCTATTGCCGTTTATTAAAATATAAGTAGTAACTGTTGAGATGGCCCAGATGATCCTTTTTCTTGCCCAAAAAAGAGGAGGGGGGGCAAGCAAGATGTCAGAAAAAGGAAATAGAGAGGTAGTACAAGAGAAGAATCAGCTGCATATCAAAAAATGCACTTCAGAAAAACAGGAGAAAGAATGACAGGCAAAGGGGAGGCTCACCAGGGCTGGCTGGCCCAAGGCATTTTGCTGACTAAGGCAAAGACAGACATAACAACTCACACTGCAATTCCCTCTAAATAATCCATCAGGACCAGAAATGAGTGAAGTCATAATTGGGTGAGAGGACAGTAATCCTCGGCAAGGACAAGGAGGTCCAACCCACTGAAGCTCTTTGGAGATGAACAGGGTGGCAAGTTCTTGCATGATTCCTCTCTCTTTATGCCTTCTATTATACCACTGCCTGGACTCAAAGAATCACGCTTGCTCTAGAGATGTACAAGAATTTCATTTCTGTTTGCAAACCATACAAATACAATCCATTTACATCCCGAAATGCAAATGCAAGCATCACTGTTTTTTTAGATGCATTTGTAAATTTCAGAATTTGCAAACACATAAAAAGTTTTTTAAAAACACCATGCACCTTGAAACATGCACTTTAGTCAATGGGGGTGTGCACACTTCTGAGAAATGCACAGAAATTTTCACTCTTTCGGTTCAAACAAGCCGAAAACAGCTGTCAAAATGAGCTTCAGGGAGATTTTTGGAGAACTTGTGCAAACTCAGAAATTGCCGATTTGCCTGTTTAGTCTGCTCTTATCTACGCAACCACACCTCCCTTGGTACAGTAAAGCAGTAACCAAGAGTAGCCTTCCATAACCTGTTGCTGTCCAGCTGGGTTCAGTAACTCCCAGCATCTCAGACTATTGGTCAAGCCAACTGAGGCTGATGTGCACTAAAATCCAAAACATCTGGAGGCTACCAGGTTGGAGAAAGTAATGTGATGGAAGGATGGCCAAATGAGATTAAATATTAGAACTGGCTCATTTATACCATCATCTATATGAATATCTATAAATCTGTTCCATTTCAGTGCTAAGAACTGCAGGCACAGGTGTGTTTCCCTCAATTATCCTCCTATACCACATCAAAGAAAAATCTGGTTCTTGCTTATGCAATGTGGACAAAATGGAGTGATTCCCTTCTTGGACAGTAAATGTCCAAACATAGTAATTCTAATATGGTTTGATGTTATGATGTGCTCTAAGAGCCCTTTAACTCTACCCAGATAGCCGACTCTGCTCCAAGTCTAGCTATGCAGACATTTGTTCCATATGCAGGATTCACTGTTAGGATTCATCAGCTGCCTTCAAACTCATTTTGGAAAGTTCCTGATGTCCTTACAAATAGTTTCTGGGCCTCACATAGCCCATGTCTCACTTCACAGCTTATCTCCTCTGTTTTCAATTATTCCCCATCTAAAATTCCTATTTAAAAACAAGTCTGTGACATTAAACACGGAGCTTGCAAGCAGTGACTTTGCTTGTTTGTTCCGCATGTTGTATCCTTTTTCTTTAGTTTCAGTCCAGAGAGATATTTTTCTCTTACAGAACAAGGAAGATCTTAAATTCAGCTAGTACAGTTAATAGGATCTTGATCTCTATGGATACAGCAGCAGATACATTTCATAGCATTTTTTAAAAAAAGTTTTGACAGAAAAGCAGAAAGATCCATAGCCAGGTTGACCAAGCCAGGGTCACACTGCAAGCTGGTGGCAAAATGATACATTTCTCAGGATATATTGCTGTTGAAAGCAGAGTTGTAGCTAGACACATTTGTGAGAAAAAGGATTTATAGTACTTTTTTATTACAAAACAAGCCCATAGTTGAAGCATTTCTTATTGCTTGAGATACCAAAACGGCCCTTTCTAGATTACGTTTTATGATATCAGAGCTAGTGTAGCACAGGAAATGTCAGAAGTCCTTCAGGTATTAGGAAGACCAATGATCTAGAGCACCCTCCCCAACCTGGTCCCTTCCAGGTATTTTCGACTGTATCTCCCAATATGCAGGAATGTGCAGGTAACATTGACGCCTGTATCATGAAAACTTGATCTAAAAAAACTACCCTCAGCATCCACCCTCTCTTAAAACCTTTCATTCATTATAAGAACCCTGCTTTCCATATGCCAAGGGACACGCCAGTGAAATCTCCATGATCTGTCCATACAACGGTGGCCTTCTCTATCTTCACTGTCTGAGTACAGTAAGCAGTAATTCTTCAAAATATAGTTCCCTGGCTCATTTTCCATGCCTATGCACCTTCCCTTAGACCACCTTTAAAAAATGTAAGTAATTTGTCCACCATCCCGGTAAGATCCTTAAAAGAAAAAAACACACACACAGAAAAGATTGTTCAAAGAATGGCAGCTGGCTATGATAAAAAAATCTAGGATACCCTGAAACCTTCATGTACTTTATTCATGTCTTTAAAACACTCGGTTAAAAATTAATCCTGCAATTGCCATATCAACTAACCCCCCCCCCCCCATTTTTTTACTGTAGTATTTGAAAAATAGCTTTTGTAATACCTGACTTTGGGATTAGTTAATCACACATCAAAAACATAGCTCAGCTCTCTTTTCTTTATAGTGGGATGTTATTGCTATGAAAACTGGGATAAGAAGTGAAACAAACAAACATGAATGCCATCTAATCATTTTAATTGTAAACAGTGCTAGGATTATCCTCCAAATTGGGGAAATAAGTTTTGTGCATCCTCCAATCTCCCTCTCAGTTCCTATATATTTTGTTCAGAAGTTGAACATCCAGCATTTAATGAGAACACACAGAATTTATTTTACTGACTGGAATTAATTTTAATTCCCCGTTTTGGTGGAATTGAACTGCAACAGCAAAAACTGGGACATATGTACAAAAACTAACTTCCACCCCCTTTATGCCAGTTTAAATATCATGACTTCCTCCAAATCATCATCATCACCACCACCACCACTATTGAAATTTTCAGGACCCTTGACAGAACCACAATTTCTAGGTTTCCCTTGGGAAGGAAAGCAACTGCTAACACTAAAACTGTAGTCCAGTTAACATTAAGTGTAAAAATACACTTGCTTACCTGACATTTTGTGCTGTGAGCCGCCCCGAGGCTTCGGCAAGGGGCGGCATAGAAATGTTTTAATAAATAAATAAATAAATAAATTTTATGGTTCTCATATTGATGCTCCCTAAAGACAACAAATGACTTTTTTAGACTATGTAATGGACCAATCCCTTTAACAAATGGTGAAATAGCCTCTTGAAGATCTTCCGGAAGGCTGTCCCATTCTTATAGTGCAATCCTAAGCATGGCAACTCAAGAGTAAATCCCCCAGGTCCCACGTAAGCATGTACAAGATGACAGTCTTAGTGGATAAAACTTGAGCAAGTGGCTGCAAGATGATGCTGATGATGGTGGAACTGGCAAGTGACAGAAGATGCTGCAGTGCAGAGCACTTTTCGTCAGAGTGGTCCTATCAAGATCCCTTGGCCAACCTGGATAAGCAGGACCTGGTCAACAAATAACATCGCCACAATACAGACACTTACAGTTTATTATTTCAAGGAAGCAACAGAAGAGGAAGCATGAGTGCCTTACTTGCAACACCCTCTGTTCATGTGAAAGGTTATAGGGAGAAAGTATTCTCCCAATGTGGTGATGCAAAAATGATCTCCTGGTATAGGAAAATGTGCACTTCATCCAAAACTCTGAAGCATGGGATGATCTTACTTGAAAAACTAAAGAAATTCAGAGGTAGAAAACATCCCAAATCTCTCAGGTATAGTGTTTGCAGGTCATCCTGTTGATTGTCTTGCCAGCAGGAAGTATTCACATATAGTGATAGTAAGGATGGCATAAGGCCTCTCTGCTTTATTCATGAGCTCAAGGGAGTGTAGCTTATTGGAAAACACTTACCTTTTGCAAATAAAGGACCGTTCCTTTAAGAACAGCATAAAATGTTTTCCATCCTCTCTTCCCTCGAGGAGCTAAGAGAACAAAACACACACAAACACATAAGAAAAGCTGTTTTAAGAAAACAGAGAGCGTTGGTAATTTCAAGCACAACTGTGTCTGTCTAGGCTCATTTGGGTTTAGAAATAACTTTCTACCTCCCTTATCCTTTGAGTCATATGCAGTTGCATACGGTGAGAGGAGCACAAATAAACAACAATGCACATATGCCTGTACTTTCCCTCTCTTGGAAGAAAAGAAATTGCTCTTTTATTGATGTGAAATATCTGTAGGTTTCTTCTGAAAGAAGAGAAAGGGGTAAGATGAAGTGCAGGAAAACGGGTACAAGGAAAGTCACCCCACACAATTAGCACAATGAGACTCACAGTTCTCTGGTCTGCAGGTTCTCCTTCTGGTCAGGCACCCTGGGATCTTTATGCACATTTATTTCCATGTCCACGGGCACACTGTACTAGTGGCAAGCAAGCTGCCTTGTGCAGCTGCATGCATACTAAAAGGCTGAAATTCCTCTGGCAGCAAGAGTGCTAATCATTAAACTACACTGGGCTTTTCCTTGTTTGTTGGGCCCTGCCCCTTTTGCGTTTGAACCCTGCCTACCACTGGGATGCAGCCCCTGAGTGCTATTCCAAATTGGAATCCGGGCCTCTGGCTGAAGGAGGCTCTGCACCCCAGAGACAGAGAAAGCCGCTAGCATGAAAGCACACTCACTCTTCTTCCCATCCATATCAGCATGGATTTTGCGTGCCAGGAATCCTGTCTTGTATACAGCAGCATTGGGGTCATGAGGAATGTCCAGGAAAGGATTATTGGAATTTCCAATACGATTGACAGTCTTGGATTGGGTTCCATTATCCTTTTCGTCAGTACCATCTGAGGGTGATTTTTTCTTTTCTTCGTCGTCTCTAAAAATGTAGAAGGGGGGGGGGATACCACATTCATTTTGCAAGCCATTTAAAGTTTAATTTCTCTAATCAGACTAAGGAAATCACCTACCTCAGTTCACTAAGTAAATTGAAAGGCACTCCCTTCACTGATTTTGTGTTAAGTCCTACAGTCCAAAATGTGTGGAGATATTTAAACTTTACACCTGCAAGCAATCCTATTCCCTTCAACGGGATGACTCATTTATATTTCAGAATACAAATCAGAACTGAAACTTTGGTGCCATTTTCATGCGAATGCCATATGGAATCCACTGACATCCAGAACAACATTGCCACCCCAAGAGAACAGTGTGCATTTTGACCATGTAACTAGGAGATTCAAATCAAGATAATGTGTACATTTTGCATTTCCACAAGATGTACAGACATGGAACCTAATATGTGTTCAAGGAAGTATCTTGAGCATTTATGTCCCCCAGATTACAAAAACTGAACAAGGGGGGAGAGAGAGAGAGAGAGAGAAGATGTAGTATGCAGTGCATCCTTCCTCCTGAAGGCTGAGAAAAGCAGTTTGGGAGAGTATGGGTGGCATTTAGTGAAAGTGCAGAAATGTGAAAAGACAGAGTAAAGCCTCTAGTGGCCAAGAGGTGCAACTTCAGAGGACTGGAGATCCTCAGCCCTGCCTGGTGACCACCATTCTGACATCACGCACACAGTCTGTACACCAGATACCTGTATCCGTCCATGTCCCCCCCCACCCCCGCCAATTATTTCCTGGAAATAAAGAACAGTGCTGCTGAGATGCCTGGAAGAAACCCTCATGTCAGAAATATATAGCATTGCCTTATACCCTGTCTCAAGTTGCTGGCCACTGTCGACATTGACAGACAGTGGCTCTCTGGGTTTCCATGGCCTGTCCCAGCCATGTCTGGAGACACTTGGGAATGAACCAGGGACTTCTGCATGTGACTGTATCTAGGGCTCCCAGTTTCTCCCTTTCTGGGAAGTTGTATATGAGCTAAAGCAATGAATTTTAGATTAGCATGAAGTCAAAGAGCTAACCATGGGCAGTAAAGGATCATGCCTACAGCTCCACACGCATCGTTTGACCAAGGACTTATGATTATTCAAAAGTCAGCACATGGTGTTTGCAACAGACCATGTTAAAGCTCTCCTGTAAGGCAAAGCAGAAAGGATAGATGGACTGAACACAACTCTGGTCAAATGGAGAGCCAGCAAGTTCCCCCTGCTGCCCTGGCTTCATCAGCACTTCAGTAGTCAGTCCATTCCAATATTACTAAGTCACATCGACAAGCACCAGCAAACAGTGTTCTCTGATTACAAATGCAGGCATCACATGCATTTCCCACAGTGCACAGGGCCCAATGTGGGGCGCCACCTAATGGCACATAATAAACTCCACCAGTCGAGCTTACTCCAACTGGCCTTAACTGGACCAAACTGTAGAAGCAGAGGTCTTCTTCAGGCAGAAACCTTCCAAACTGGCGATATTAGAGATCGAACCTGGGGCAAATCTTAGTTTGCTAAGGAACTAGCCTTGTGCTGCCAACACACAAGCACAGTTACTGTTGTGTGGGGCACTGCCGCAGCTGTGTAAAAGCTGCCCACATGCCCTCTCCTACACTGTGTGCTGAAATCAGTCACAGACTGGGGCTACATTAATGGAACTGCTATTTTCAGCTATTTTCAGAATGCACCCTCCAGAGAAAGCTTTCCTAGTGGCAATTCTGTCAGCTTAGGGAATATGAGATAGATGAATTGTAAATCAACCTTCTGCAGTTTTTCCCTTCCTTCCTAATTTTTTAAAAGGTAGCCATTTACTTCGCAGTTTGTCAGCTTACACACATTTCCCCAACCCCCTTGCCCCCAATCAAGAGAAGCAGTTCTAGTTTCTAAATGTTAAGATGTTTATACATTGCTCAGAACAGCACCAAGTAATTCCAGAAGTGCCCTTCAGTGTGCAGTACTTATATAATGCCACGATCACCGCCCCCTCCAGGGATTTCTTTAGAAATGCCTCATACAATGCCAACCTTAAGCATCCCTGAATGCAGTGGAACTGGTCTGGTTCTCCAGACCATCTAGGGATGGCTTATCTTCTTCCCACCCCTGCGGTTTGGGTCAACATTCGCTCAAAAGCAAAGCAATCCCCTCTCTGCAATTGGGTAGCAGCTCAATTTATTTCTGAACTGAGGTCAGATTCAGCCTGACCCCCACCCCCACCTCCCAAACCCTCTAGCCTCCCATTTCCATACCCTAAGTCTCCTTTCTCCTCAACTAAGGGTGGGGCAATCCATTTTCCCCATGGGGAAATATCTCAGGGGGTGCCTACCATGGGTAGACAGGGTGAAAGACAAAAAGTTTAGGCAATTTGGCTGCAAACACCCCTTTAGGCCATTAGGCACAGCCAATAGTACAACACTAGCAAGCAGCCACGAGGAGTGGGAAGGGATCTCCCCTCCCCTTCCTCCTGTAGAAGACACTGGGGTGCAAAGTTCTAGAGGCCCCTGGTAAGTAACATTTCTCCAAGGACTGCTGCAGAATAGCATCCCGGAGAGCCTCATGGCTTAGTACACTGCTCCACAGTGTGGCAGACTGAGAGAATCACCTGGCTCCGTCTTGAGAGCTGGAGAGGAGTGTGGTGCTCCTAAGGCTTGCTCCTTTGCTGAAGCTCATCAAACTCGGAGTCAAGTCCCACATGTACAGGTTTTCACTAGCACCTCTGTACTGGGCTACTGCAAAGCAGCTTTCCCCCCTTCATTAGAAGACTGATAGCTCCACCTAACATAGAATTGCTGGGGGGAACAGCAGCCGCCTGGTCAGTTCCATTCAAAAAGTACATATTACAGCTAGCAGTGTTTGATCTGCTGTCTGTCATCTTCTCGTGTCCTGCACAGCTGCTTTCTCACTTCTCCACCTCTTCTGATTACTCAGAAAAGAGATGTCAGGATGATGCAGGCATCCTAAAATAGCTGTTTTTCACTGGATGGTGCCACCATGTGCACGATGGTACCACCTCAGAAAACTAGCCACTCTAGGAAGTGCCACTCAGAAGGAATCACCTACTGAGGAACATGGAGGCCGTTCTTCCGGTCACTTTCAAACACAGGTAATGGGCAGATTTCAACAATGAGGAAACTGCATATTGCCAAAGGCATCGACAGATTAATATTATTAGTGTAATAATAAAAGGCAAACTTCTTGAAGAACCACAGCTACACCTATAGTTAAACTGCAATTAAGTAACATGGTAACTGGATTTGCCTATATTTATCTATCCCAACCCTTGTCTCTACCTCTCCTCCCTCCTTTTGTTACATAGGCAGAAGTCTACTTCTGCCTATGTAATTCTGCAAGGCACAAAACACACTGGTGACACTGCAAAAATGGGACAAAAACAATTAATAATAATAATTAGCTTGTGTTATCATCACCGTAATTTATTTTGACTGCATAGTGCAAGGGGCTCTGAAATACAGAACAGGTAATTATGTCATTTTTTATTCAGCCAAATTCCAATAGTGCAGGAATGTGCATGTGTACCACTAAGCTTTAGCAGGTGTAATTCAAAAGCTTCTGTTCCCTTGTAGCAGCCAAAGTTAGCCTGTAAATGCTGTCTCCTTATCAATGAACATGGCTGCATTTAAAATTACATCCCCTATTCGTAAGAGCCTCCACATGACATCCATGGTACTCTCTTGTTACAGAACGCGCCAACATCATAAGAAAATCAAGTAAGTGAGGATTCAGAGGGGAGTGGGGTGGGATGATTAAAGTCTTTTGGCAGACACTGGCCTCCTCGTGTTTGCCTTTCAATTCCAATTGTTAGCTTCCTGAAAGCAGCCGAAATGGGGGACATTAGGCCTTCTGCAATTAATTATCTTTAATATCAGTTCGTTGTCAAGCTATCCATAGTTAATCATGAAGCAAACAGTAGACAACAAGCCAACAGAAAGAAACTTGACCTGAGATGTGTTTCTAACCCAGCAGTTCTGACACAATGCCTTAAAAGATAAAAGGCTGAAAACTAAGCATGTGTTTTATTCATGCTGCCATAGATTAACAGAGGATTTAATTTCTTTCTCCCTCAGATGAAGTTTCTGAGCCAAATAAAAATGTCTTCCACCTTTACAAGCCATCTTTCATCGCTAACAACTTATCTGCTACCTGGAGTTAAGAGCAGACATGTGGTTTGCACAATATAATACAGTTTAACATGGTAGCGTGTCATTACAGCTTAAGGAGATTCTGCCCAGGGCTTCACAGAACGGAAACAACATCCAGTTGCACAAACCACCAAACTCTGCTGCTGTGCAACCTCCAGCCAGTGTGGCGTAGCAGTTGCCATGCTGGACTGGGACCAGGAGACCTGGGTTCTAGTCTCGACTCAGCCATGAGGTTCACTGGGTGACTTGGGCCAATCACAGATCTTCAGTCTAACTTCATAGAATAGTAGTGGGATAAAATGGAGAGGAGAAGAATTATGAATACTATCTTGGCCTCCTTGGTGGAAAAGTGAGCCATAAATGTATCCAATGAGTCAATAAACAAATTCCCACAAAACAATCAAAATATTATGCTTATACAGACAGGGGTTCAGAACAGTAAATCCCAAACAGTGACTGTGCCAAGATAAAGGCAGAAGGAGAGACAGCAATATTAATGAGGTTACCCTGAGGTTCAATTGCAAGAAGTTTATCTGGAGAGCTGACCGAGAAAAGATTTTACATATATATTGCAGGCTGAACTATCATAATGAATTAGATGTGAGGTTGCCTATGACGAGTGTTCAGAAACTGCAGCATAATGTGGCTGGTAGAGTAACTGGGACTGAGCATTATGGTTATATTGTGCCTGTCCTATGCAACTACACTGGGTCCCATGCAGCTTCTGGACCCAATTCAATGTGCTGGTTTTAGATTCCTTCCTGCATTAGGACGCAGAGAACTTGAAGGTCTACACATGCAGCTAACCATACATTAAGATCTTTGTGGAGGGCCTGTTAAGAGTATTCCCACCTTCTGAGATGGGGAAATTTTATTTATTTAAATGCATTTATTTAAATGATGATTTAAATTGTGAAAAGGAGTCTTCTTGGTGGTGGTACCCCAGTTATGGAATGCTCTTTTCAAGAGATTGTGCTGCTTGAGGAGAACCACAAAAGCACATTCTCCTGCTTTCCATGTACAAAAGCCAATTGGACTGGTGGGTGAGTCTTGTCTTTAGGGCTGGCAATTGTCCTCTACTGCACCTGGGGGTAGAAGCCTTCCTTGGGGATCACAAGGTCAGCCAATGACCCACACAGTTCCGCCCTTCAAGTCCTTGCCACAATTCCCTACCTGCAGCATCTGCCAGCTGAGGTGGTCATCTCAGCCTGCCTCCTGCACTGTCCTTTGGATGCCAGGCAAAGACCAGCAATTTTAATCCAGTAGACTTATTTATACTGGTTTAATTATTTTCTGGGGTTTAGATACACACACACACACAGTACCCCTTCAGCACACATTTTAAATGGAGGAAAAACCATCTGTTTTGGGTAGCGTCATTTGGGGAAATGCATTTTATAGAATTCAAACTGCCTCCTGTTCAGGAAGCCTTACGACACCCATGTAAGGCATGCCAGCAATATTATCTTCATCTTGCACTGGGGGCGGTGGGGGGGGGGGTTGATTCTCAGAAATGACGACATGCCTAAGGCATGCATTCATCTTTCCCTGGTGCCTGTCCTCCAGAAGCTTAGGGCTACAATTCCTAATGGTCCTGGCCATTGGTCATGCTGACTGGGGATGATGGGAGTATAGTCCAAATTATCTGAGGCACACCAGGTCGGGGAGGGCTCTCCTAATGAGTTCTTGGCTGAAAAGGGATTGAAACTGATGACTTTGTGGGTCCACTGCAGCTCAGTCTCAACTACCAGTCTATATTGCCTATCATGAATTGAAGGAAGACTGTCCGATGAGGGGGAAAAGACTGACCAATGAACTGGGCTTGCTGGATTGCTCCCCAGGATTGCTGGGGTGGATTTTTGCAAGTTCTCAAATCTCTTCCATATGCTGCCTGCATATGAAGAGGAATGCCATCAAATGAATCATTTTAAGAACTCATTAATTCCACACAATATACTTACACTGCCCACTCAAGTTTCTCATTTTTGATTGAATTGTAGAGAGCCTGCAAAAGGAAAAGCAAGAAGAAATTACTGGGTTCGTCTTGGCCATAACATAGGAAACTGCTGATTCAAAACAACAACAACAACAACACCACATTAAATATCCTGAAGCATCCTTCCTTTGATCACGAAGGCATCCATGCAAGGCAAAGAAAGAATTAAAATAGTATTCAAGAGCTGAGGCACACAACAACACATAGTTGCCATTCTTTATTTTGCTAAGAGGCATAATTTCCACCCTTGCCCCAAGAATGGAAGCCCTTCATGACCTTGGGAAACTGCCCAAAAGCCCTAAGATGCGATACTGCTTTCCAAGCTTTTCTAGCATGAAGTGCTTCTGGTCAGAAATGGGGAAGGTGAGAGGGCTTATGCACATTGAAGCACACTGACACCTCAGATTCAACAGCTGTCTCTTCCCTTTTGGGAGAAGGGTTAGGGTCTGTAGTGGAAAGCACAGGGCCCAAGGTCAGTCAAAATGTGTTGAACCCTGGTCAAAAAAAGATGAATGCACGCATTAATGAACGGATGTGAAGGATTTTGGAACTCTGGCCTGGGATCAGCAGTGGTCAAATTGCAATGTCCTGCATTGTAGTGCACAAGACTTATGCTAAAAAAGCAAATTCATCTCATTTTAAGAAGGACAGACCACTGGCAGCCCAGCTGCTTGCATGGCAGTGTGTCCTACATCTCTTTGAAGGGCTGTCAGAGGAAAATATGAATATATGGTAATTATATTTGGGGCTCTGAGATCAAAACCACTTGATAGAATAGCTGGTGAAACTGTAAAGGTTTTGATGGGCTTGTTTTCTTGTGTAGATTTGTTGCAAGGCAGCCCTCTCCCTTATCCTGCTACCGCTGAATGTGTAGTGGATATGCTACACTGGTTTCGCTGTAGTTTAGTTTTTATGATTTTTAATATAGGCACTTGAATGTGTTTTTTTATGATTGAATTCTACACTGCCTTGGAAGTATCAACAGAAAAGCAGTGTAGGCATCTCATACCAAAATAAATGCATACATTTTAGATGCATCTCAGTTGCCTGTATCATATAAAATCATCTACTACTTTTTAAGTGTACATGGTAGAGAGCCCTATGAAGGTGGACAGGAAGTCTGACCGACAGGATTCGGCTTTATTACTAAGCAGAGGGCAATCTCACAAGGTGAGGTCATAAATCAGGACTTCATCCTACTGTGAGATTATGGTGTGGTATATATCTGATCACACTGCACTAAAGTAAATGGTCTTCTGGATTTTTTTTTCTTTTTTAAAATGGCATTGCTGTTATCCAACCATCACTTGTCTTGCGTGAAAGAAAGGTATTTTGCCTACAAAAATCTCAGATGATCATATTCATAATCTGCAGACAGGTTTTATGCATATATTTATGTATTTATTGTATGCAGTTTCGTACCCTTCAGCTAAAGATCTACAGAGCAGCTCACCATGAGATCAACATAAAATCAAATAATGGCAATCAAGACCAAAAATCAAAAGCAACAGATCAAAACAATTAACAACTCAGAACTTAAGAAACAGCAGCGAACAAAAGGTCTTTGCTTGGTGTTGAAATAAGGAAGGTGGCCATGCAAGCCTCTCTGAAGAAAGAATCCCATAAAAAATGGCACCACCATTGAGCAGCCACTGGCACCACCTGTTTCACAACTCAAGCAACCCTTTTTGAATGTTGTTCAGAAATAGACCAATCCAGTTGTATCCAAATTGGTGTCATATGATCCCAATGGCATATGTTCCCAATGGCACATGACTCAATAATTCTCTTAAAGTATTACCATACAACCTGTTGGTATTCAAAGTCTAGCTGCCCCCCCCCCCCCACAAATCAAAATCTCTCTCTACTTGCCCATTTTTGGGATGAGAGCTCTCCGACTGCTGTTACTCTAATGTACATGATAGCCCTTCCAATGCTCCGTTAGCCTAGATTGCCTTTATTCTTTGGAGAATCATCATTGTTGCCCATTCCAAATGCAGAGCATTTCATAGAATCAGAACAGAAATCATAATAAGAAACCTGTGGAGTCAGAAATCCTGAACATTTTCACTCAGTCTTGGTTATTGGCCCCTTAAACAGTCATGTTCAAATTGTTTAGTTACAATGAAAAGTAAGCAAACTTTTTATTGAAAATAAGCCAGGCAAAAAACTACAGCATTTTCCATTAATAAAATCTAGAGACCATGGCTCAAGATACTTCATCTTCTGGTACACTGGATTCTACAAAGATGGAATCTCTTCTGCTTAAGAACTTGTTCAACATTCTGCTTTTCTTAATCCAAACTGGCAAACACCCTCAAGTCACAACACCCATAACTCTGGTCTATCAGTCACAGTATTATTGCTTTTCACATTTCACGTAAGCTATCTTATAAATTTTTCTCTGTTCTCCCACTTGGTAAATCTTTTTACTGCCAAAAATCGCTTTAAAATAGTCAACTCCTGTTTTATCCTTATTATCAATTCAGCTGAGACTGATTGCTAGACTAGAGTCTAAGCTGGCATGAGCAAGAAGTGGGAAGGGGTCCTTGAGAAGCTAGGAAGTGATTTAGCCAGGTTGGGGAAAATACTGGAGAGCACTGGAGGACTGTCAGGGTGTCAAAACTGTTACAGTTGTGCACAGGTAAGTCCTTTTAGTTAAACTTACATTCAACATAACACCATGAATGGCTTTGCTAGTTACACTAATCCTGCAAATAACCTACAGCAAGCAAACAACCCATGGTATGCCTGACAGATAATCTCCTTCCCCCTTAGCCCTCCTGCAGGTTTCTCAGGGTCCTCTGTGGCAGGACCCATCTTGCCTCCTCTCCCCAATCACAAGTCCATTTCTGCTCACTATAGCTTCCCCACTTTTTTCAGAGATTGTTTTTGTGATCTCAGAGTTGCTAACCAGCAAAAGCCCATCCAAAGTGCTCAAATAGTGAATTGGAGGGGCTGCCGCAGGTCTACCATCCATGTGTTCCCCAAACATGCACAAATAGTTTTGTAATTTCTTTTTGTTTTCTTTTCTTTTTTTCTTTTTAGTTGGCCTTGAGGAAGTACAGAAGTAACTAGCATTGGATGAAAATGAGGAACCTCACTTGAGCAATGCCCTGGGAGTTCTCCACTGTTGAAGTACAGCAGAGACCAACTATGGACACTGTTCCAGATAGGAATTATCACCTTTTCTGAGCAAAGGTCACTGATGACTTTTCTTTCCCTTGACAGCTCAAAAAAACACACCCTATTTACAGCTTCCCTGGGTTAATGTCCATGTGTGCATTTCAACATCTGCACAACCAATTAAACTATTAAAATATTTGTGCATATTTTAGATACAAAAATATAAATAGAGGCCTAAGGGGAATCTCCTGGTGATTCTTCTTGCTGGGTCTATTTATTTTATTTTTTTACTGTATTTTAAAGCAATTTAAGATTAATTTTAAATTCTTTCAACATTTTTATTTTATGTTAATTGTATTCTATTTTGTTGTTTTGTTTCATACACCATTATAGACTGCCCAGACAGCTTTGGCTATGAAGCAGCACAGAACGGAAACAAACAAACAAACAAACTGCAAATCAGTGGCAGCACCTCCAATTTGTCATTTGGGTATCCTGAAGGGGCAGGAGCAGGCTGTCAACTCAAATGATGAAACGCAATCTCCATACCAAAGGTGGAGAGAAGGTGCGGAACACTAAGGTGGTCACAAATGTGCTTGCAATCACCCAGGGGGACCCTGAGCCAGTGACAGTTGCTCCACCAGGCCACTCGGGCATCAAGTGGGGTGGCTGTCACTGGCAGACGCACAGGCAAGCTCAGTGAGAACAACAAAGAAGTTTTGCCATTCTTGCTAAATGGCTCACTCACCGCTTCCCTGGGGTTGTTAACCCAGGTTTGAACAATACAACAACCCACCATGGATACAGCAATAACTAGAATAAGCAATGGGCAGTCAGAGTGATTTGTTGCCCCTAACAAACCAGCCTCAGGAAGTAATCCAGGTCCACATGGCACAACAGCCTACCATGACTAGTTACCCAAAACACATTGTCTTGTTATGCAAACCAAGTCAATGATGCACCTTGTCACAAAAACATGATCTCATCTTTTCATACAGCACAGAAAACAAACAAAGACTAAACTTTGCATTAACACATACTAATGAAGACTTGGACTCCCCAGCATCACCTACATATTAAAAGTGAGGAACATTTGACATGTATTATTCTTTGTCAAGCACAAACTCAAACAAACATAAAAGTACACAATATTCCTTGTATCAAGGTTGCCTTTAAAAAAACTCCTCTTTCCATGCATGCCTTATAATTCAGCCTTTCATCACTTCAGATTGCACTTAAATGTCTAGATGACCCTTCCTAGAGCAAATCCAACTATTTCTTGCCAGTAGCATTACCATTCATTTTAAACCATCCTGCTTCCTTGCCTTTAACTTAGCCTGACAATTACAGATACAATGGATGAAGCTTTTTCTGTCACTTCACCCCCTTGCCAGGAAAAACTTCACATGCCAAATTTCTGTGTGTCAGGCAGCTGTCAAAAGCCTAGGAGCCCTTCCAGAAAAAAAAAAGTTGGCAATCCTTTCCTGGCAAGAAGACTTTCCCTTCATTTCCTAGAGGAAACTGAAGCATAAAAAATGTGGCAGGAATCTTCTAGATATGCATCTTGTATTTGTGTTAGGTAAGTTAGGTAAGTGCTTCTATGGGAAGTCTGCTAGGACACTGGAGGCATGCCTACACTCGAGGTAGTTCCAAAGAAGTTATTCACTCTGTGCGTGCTTATAGTCATATACTTATCCTGTATGCTTAGTGACATTTTCTGCCTGATTTGCAAAGATACCAAGTTCTTGCTGCAGTGATACCCCACCCCCACAAAAGAAGAAGATAGTATTTATTCCATTCATGTCTCACCTTTCTTCAAGGACTTCCTCCTTCCTAGGCAAACTTTCATTAGATACATGCCAGGTCTCTCCCAAACCTACTTC